AACCGCTCTGGAAAAGACTGACATAGATTGGAAACTGGGAGGAAATTAATATTAAAATATCAATACTTTTTGTACTCAAGTATTTTTTGTGCAGTTCAAGGCCCTGTTGGTGATTTCTTGAATGCTGTATCTATATATTGGACTCCTGCTATTTTGTAAAGTCTGTTTTGTGTGTTTATTTGTCTATAAAGAAAGGATAACAAAAGACCAAAAGGGAAATATAGTAGTATTGGTACTTTATTAGTGGATTCTAGACTGATTTGCATAGCAGAATGGATATAATTTAGATAGGACTTGTTTATTTAGGACAGGTTTGTCATTCTCCTGGTTTTTACTAAGGAGAAAGCAGATGATATGCTGACCCGTATAGATTTTCCACATTGCCAGCCTGCTTTTCAGTCTCCATAAATTGATTGAAAGCAGAAAGGAGCTAATCTCTCAGTTCTAAAGGCCTAGAGTAGGCCACAAAGTCTTTGCTCAAGAAGTCACCACGTGTGAGTTATGACTCTGATCCAGAACTGCTCCTCAGACTGCTAGTGACTGAAGCTGCTATACCTTGTTACAATGGAGTTGTAATAGTTTACTGTAGCCCATTGTGACTGACTATGCATGTTCTGCCTCAAAATGATTTTATTTTTAGATTGGCTAAATCAATACTATTCTTGAGTTTGTAAGTTTGTCTATCCACTGTATAGAGTTGCTTGAATGTTTCTGTGAAGAATCTGAAGCAGGAACTTGCTAGATTTGAGTGTGATAGCATTAACTGGAGCTCCAAAGCTGATAAATACGAGGAAGAACTCTCACAGTGTTTTCAACACTGCACCACTCAAGAGGAGATAAATGAGGTAAAACCCAACACATTATATGACTGTGAAAGGGGCTCTTGTGTTCTGTATTGCATGTTACTGTTTATCTTTCTCCTGAATGCTTCATAAACATATAGAAAACTTGATTTTCATTTACTAACAGCCTTTGGTCCACAGAGCAGCGATAATAATATGGTCCATAATTGTGCAGTTCAGGATTATAGCAAGTTGTTGGGTTGGCAATAAAGTGCTTTCACTGTACTAAGAGGACTTTCAGCTCTGTCAGCTTCATCTGAAATACATGAGTCTTCATATTTCCTTCTTATGAAGCTAAAGTTTCAAACAAAAGTAGAATTCATATATATTGCAGCTGTAAGGCTATTAGAAAGAACTTTCAGTCTTTTAATTAAAAGTTCAGAGTAATTTACTACTTAACAATTGGTTTATTTTTTTTTTAAACCCAAGATATGATACTTTAAAAACTGCTAGAAGTAAAGGAAATGTTCTTTTGTATACTAATATTAAAATTTAGCATTCTGGAACTTAGGAAAAATTACTTAGTTAATATGAGTATTAATATAGCATTGTAGTTGGCCAAGTAAAATTCCACTAACATCATAGCAGGTTGCACTGATGTCTCAACAAAAATTAATTTTGGAAAAACATTCCATAGAATGAATTTTCTCAGAATGATCCATTAAGAGGCATCAGTCTCCTGTGCTGTAACTTCTTGGTAGGAAACAGTAAGAGCAGCAGGTGGTATAGAAGAAGCACCCTGGCAGAGGGAACCATGCTGCAGAAGAGAATGAAAGCAAGAAGAACCTAAAAAAATGAGTCCCATTATGCTTTGCAGTGGCATGGGAGAAACAGAATATTTGAGGTTTGCACTAAAGTGTTCTAGTTTTTACTGAAAGCCCCTCAAATTTGCTGGAGAAAAGGGAAATGTTCATTGAATAGCCTGTATGTAAGGCTGGCAATTTTCAAAGACAGTGGTATATTAAATGAATCTCTTGTTTTTGTCCAGTGAGGATGAGATTATATAATGAGGGCAGGAGAATGTGACTGCTTTCTAAGAATTATTATTCTATTTTTATTACTTGTTATACTTCCAGTGAGAGCAGGAAAAAACCAATCTTACTTTCATTCTTGAACTGAAATGAAAAGTATGTCAGTGACACGTGTTATTCACCGCATGCCCTATATTGCAAAAATGTAACATTTTAGGTTCTCCTAGTTAGTGGACACCCTCTGCAAAATAATCACATAGCATATTTTCAATTACAATGTCAGTTATTTATTTACTCTGCTAAAAAGTTGAGAATGCCATGTTGGCTGGTTAAATTAAAACCTGTCATCCCCAGACCTGATTGAATCTTGAATGTAAACTAGCTGAAATACACTAATTAGTTGCATGGACACCTTTTTCTTTGGATTCCTTTTCTACTAGCGGTTAGCATAGAAGATATTTCCTAAACAGATACTTGGCTAATGTACCTGTATATTCATTAATCCACTGCCATTTTTATTATATTTTTTAATTATGTAGTTAAAGCTAATTCATTTAGGGATCAAGAAACCAGCCTCTGAACTACTTTGAGAATGTTAAATTTTGAGTATTCACTTCGGTATTTAAAGTTCCATTAGTTTTAACATCAGAAATTAGCCTGAGTATTGCTAATGTGTAGCAGACCTGTCTGAAATAGTGATTTCTTTACCATCTACTATGTCTAAGCAATTAAATATTTCATGTGCCAGCAGGAAGCAGCAGCTGTTCATAGCTGTCATATGGTAAAAAGCCAGCCACATAATTTAGTAGTGATTTACCAGTGTACAGAGCAAACTTTAAATCTGACTGGAAATATTCAGAATTCTACTGTAAATACTTAATTTACATTTAATGTGCTGAATGTAAGTGTGTGAATAAAGCATACGAGCGAGGGCATTGGTGATTAGGACTCACTGGTGATTGAAAATATACTTAGAGGACTTGGCCACCTCCCTGCATTTATAACATAACAGTGCTTCTATAAGAAGCATGGGAACAAATACTGACATTTACATCCAAGGATATACAATGTGAGTTTTGAAACAGTCTTGGAGTGGAGAAGACTAAAAGGCATGCCTTTTGTGTGCTTTCTGTAATTTAAAGAGCATTTGCAAAGGTCATATAAGGGATTTTGCGCTCTACATCTTTGAATGGTATGAAGAAAAGCCATATGTATTTTGAGATCTATTTGGGCTTCCTCTTTCAGTAACTTGCTTGGGCAGCAGCCTCTGCACTGCCTTACATGAGTCTCTCTTTATGAAACTAGCTTAATACTATACTCAATCTGTTTGTGTGATTATAATTGATACAGTTATTTACATAAGGCAACTTTTGCAATGAAGCAGCCTTTTCCTTAAAAATTACATTTATGCATATCTGCACAAAACTTGCAACAGAAGAGTAACATCCTGAAGTAGGTTCTCAGCTCTCCCCAGTCATAGCACTTCTATCCTCTTCATCATGTCAATGTTTATGCACTCATGGTGGTACTTAGCACGTTTCTCAGCTTGTAATTTATTTGGAATGCTGTCCCAGAATTAATAATTAATGACTTGAACAGCACTTTTTCTTACCTTCCATTTTCTGGCTGGCTTTGCTTTGGTCTGTAATTTAATTTTTGCCACTTTGCAAATGTATTTTCAGCAACCTGCTTTTGTGGGTTATTTTGATTGTTAGTGCTAGTAAATTTTTTTATGGGAAAGGGAAGGGTAAGTGGCTAGCAACACTGAAATACCTCCTAGAGTGGCTTAGACAGGAATCAAAGCATTTTACTTGAGTTGTACTGTTAACAAAATCATGTTTAGAGCAGCTTTATAACTTGATTTTTCTATGTATTTTTAAGCTGCGTCATAAAGCAGAGGAATTGTAGCTAACTCAAGCCCCTCCTCTCCACAATCATTCTCCACCCCTGACAGGCCAACTATAGTTAGGAACAGCTGCCTGACTAATGACTATGACACAATGGATGCATTACAAAGTTCCATTAACATTTGGGCTGAAGTCACTGAAGTGTATTGGGGTGTATAGTTCCTTTAGTATTTCTCATCTAATTTTGCAGAAAATTAAGGAAAACTGATATGTGTTTAGATTTCTAAAAATTGATGGCTGTATGTCATCCTGGGTGCAACTGTTGGTGATAACTGGAGTTGTACATCACCTCTCAAACTGCATGTACACAAGTCTGAGCTGAATCTGGTTTTTCCACTGAGGCTGAAAGAGAAGACTGACAGCAGCTGCAGACCTTTGACACATGAGCCATCATATCTGAAACAAGGCGATCTAATTTCACATACTGCTATGAGGAGAGCTCCTGGTCTTCTAAATGATCACTAGCATGTGTACGTGCATAAGCCAGTGAAATAAACTAAAATAAACTCTTGCTCATCTCTTCCTCAAAATTAAACCAGCAAGTAAAGCTCTCATGTTCTGAATGCAGAATATCATTCTGCTGAAGTGGTTTTATTAAGAGAGCTTTTTGATAGATTATATTATTCTTTGTACTTATAAAAGTACGAAGAGGTTAAACTAATTGAATATCACAATGCTGATGATAGAATTCCCTTCCTTTCCATTACAGTGAGTGAAAACCATCTGTCTATTCACTGCTGAAATAGTTTAGCAACATCCCACTAGATGAAATGAAAATGAAGAATATATCCCTTGATGTATTGATGTTAGTTTGTAGTAGTAGTTGTTATTATCATTATTAATTTACTGGCTGTTCCAATAACAGGAACTGCAAAGTGAGCATTCATCACATCTTGGATTCTTTGGCAGGAACAGGGACAGGGCAAAGTCTGTAGGACTTTTAATATTAAAAAAGCCTCTAATATGTTAACCAAATATCAAACTGTGTGTGTGGTCTGAACTTGTTTCCACTGGTCAACTAAGTTAAGCTCTTTTCATTTCTGTGGCAGGAGGAACAGACCATAAAAGCATTAGAACTGCTGCATTATTTTTAGTTCAGTTCCTTTAGATAAATGTAAGTTTAAACAATTTATTCTACGTTCCCCTAAAAGCAAAAGATTGTTAACTCAAAGAGTATGAAATTTTCAAAAATAATATTCCAGTTTATATTCTTCCATTTCAAATTTTATGAATTAATTATAAGTAATTTGAAAATGTGATAATGGGATTGCAGTTTAATTGCAATTAAGTTGCAAGTAAAATAGTATTTTTTTTTAGGTACTAGAAGCATGTTTTAAGCAGGTTTTTTACTTGTTTAGTTCTTATATCTGCTGCTTAAAGTCGTTAAAAACTGACTGCAATATCTAAAAAGATTTTTTTGCAGTTGCAAAATAAAACTGAAAATGACAGCTTTCAGAGAAAATATATTGAAAAAAATATACTTAAAATAGTCTTTTAAAGATAACTTGGCTGCCTCTGCATGTTGTACTTATTTGTATAACTACTAGTGCAAACAATGACGTGTAGTTTATTAAGAGCACACTTGCAAGAGGTAATTAAAGCATGCAGGTAATTGTCATTGGGAAAAAATAATAAAGAGAATATATCAATCCTATATTACGACTAGTTCCTATGATAAATGAACAGTATTTAAAAAGTTATGTTATTACATGACGCTTTTTTGATATGTACTAAACTCATTCTAGTAAACTAGCAATGCATCTGATCCATAGGTATAAAAATGAAAGTGTATCTACCTAGAGCTTGATCAGTGTCATTCCAGTAATTCTGGATTTTAAAATACTTTGTGGATTGAAAAAAATTAGCTACACTCCATCGAAGGCGCAAAAGAGTTTTACAGCAAATTTAGGATAACTGAATTTAGTAGTAGTTAGCTCACGTAAGTCCATCTGCAAAGTCTTAAAAGGCATGGAAGCCTTATAATCAGAACTAGTAGTTCATCCTGTTTTATATTATTGTAAGAATAATTTCCCCTGATATTGAGCTTGCTGCGCCATGTCAGTGCTAGCTGGTAATAATACTCTCACATGGAACCAGATCTTTCTAGCTGTTGTTGTGCAAGGTTTTCTTTGTGTTAAAATCTTTCTGCTACCATACTTGTAGAAGAGTTACTCGAAAGTCAGGTACTCATGTAGTCTACATTCTAATCCTGCAAAGAGCTGGATTCATCTTTGTATGCTGTGAATAATCATACTATGATGTTTGGACTAGGACTGTGTATAGAATTAAGCTGCTGTGTAACTTCCTTTTAGAAGCAGGGCTTCTGAAAATGGACAGGAAAAAACCCCAAGAAAAATAGAGTATGACTTAAACTAAGTGTTGTATTGTAGGAGAAAAGTACTATGAATAAATACAAATCTACTTGCCCAGCCCCAGTAAACAATGTTTTTTCTGGAAACTAAGGATGGGTATACATTTGTATGGCTACCATTTCCACTGCATAGGCTGGACTATGTGAAGGACATCTGCCTCTAGTTAATGTCAATGAAACCTCTTAGACAGGATGTTTTAATAGATACTCTGAGCAAGGATGTCATCTTTTGCCTCAATTCTTTCACTTCTGGATATAATACTCAGTATTCAGAATGCAAAAAAACCTTGTTTTAGTAAGATAATGATTTCCCACTACTGGACAGTGATTATCAGGAAATAACATTGCTTTATGAGATGGCACAGTATTAGTAATTTCTGTATTACATTTTCAGTGTTTAGATTCTAGTCTATTAAACAGCTCCTGAAAAAACCTAAATTGAAGTGTGCTGGTTTATTTTTACTAACAAATATTCTTACTCTGTTTTAGTTCAGAGAATCATTTAAGGATCTCAAAAAGAAATTCAACAATTTGAAGTTTAACTATATGAAGAAAACAGAAAGAGCTCGAAATTTGAAAGTACTTAAAATACAGATTCAGCAAGTTGATACATATGCAGAGAAAATACAGGTAATATTAATCAGAAATTCTTACTTCAAAGACTCCAATAACCTTTTTAGTTGCCAGTCAGAACTAGCACTTTTGTTTTGCTTGCCCTGACAGATTGTTCTTTCACAACTTTTTTCTTCAAAATTTCAGTAGCTTCTATGGTTTTATTTTTGCTATTTCTCTTGCTGTCATTAAGTATTTCTTTTCCTTTTTTTTCTTTTTCTTCTTTTTTTTTTTTTTTTTTTGCTTGGCAATTTCACCCACAAATCTAAGTTTAAGTCACAGAATCATTGAGGTTGAAAAGGATGTCCGGAGATCATCTGGTCAAAAGTTCTTCCTCAGAGCAGGGTAAACTACAAAAGGTTGCTGTATGTCACATCCAGTTGAGTTTTGTATGTCTCCAAAGGTGAGACTCCACAACCTCTGTGGGCAAGCTGTTCCACCCTCAGAGTGGAAGCAGTGATCTGTTTGGGGTTTTTTTGATTAAGCAGAATTTCCTGTATTTCATTTGGGTCCCTTGCCTCATGTCTTTTCACTAAACACCACTGAGATAGGTCTGGTTCTGTTTTCTTTGCTCCCTCTCATCATATTTTTGTACACATTTATAAGATCCACTTTTGAGCCTTCCTTTCTCCAGACTGAAAAATCCCTGCTCTCTCTCTCTTCTTTTATGCCACATGCTTAGTCAGTCAGTCATGTCTGTGCCCCTTTGCTCAATTTGCTCCAGTATGTCCAGGTATTTCTTATACCTGGTACAAAGTGGAAACAGGACTCCAGATGTAGCCTCACTAATGCTATGTAGAAGGGAACAATCATCTCTGACCTGCTGGCAACATTCTTCCTACTGGTGTATATTCTTACTAGTGTGTATATAGACAGTTAATTAAATACTTTTATATTTCAAACCAAACAGCAATCAAGGACCACTTTTTTTGCATACCTTGTAAAACAGCTAGCCCACTGAAGTCTTGATCAACTGGCAAGACCAGTGTTCCCTGAATATAAAATGCATATATGTATACCACTTTATCCTTAAATTTACAGGTCATATTTATACTAGACATCATAAAGTACTACTATAAATACTTGTTCCCCTTGGTCTTTGTAATTATGTTAGATTGTCACTGATGTTGCTTACATCAGATTCTGAAGAAATATGTTAGTATTCTAGGGTATATATAACTGTGATGCTTAACTGGACTTGTATTTGGTCAAAGATTCCAAAGGCTTAGTAGTATTTTTTCCTTTCCTGATAAAATTATATTTATTTTGCTTAAGATTCTATGTTTTATTACTGCAGATATTAGTTTATTTTTAAGCTGAATGCTGCAACTCAATTCCATCTTTTAGAATTATAATTGAAATGGATTTTAATTAGTATTGTAGAGTTTCCGTTAATTTTTGAAAAAGCAACTTGTACTGACTATGTTTAAAACACAGGCCAAGAAACAGGTTTGTGTGCTTTTTTGTTTTTTTTTTGTTTTTTTTTCCTAAATGTAGAAATATTTTTGTCATGGTATTTAACATTGCTATGTATTTTAAACAGATTCTTAAAAAGAAGATGGATAATTTAGAGAAGAAAGTCGTTGGCTCTGTAGCAAATGAACTTAATGTTAGAGTCTTCTTGGGGTCAATCGGTGACTTACAAAAACAGCTGAATGACTTTAGCAGAGTTGTGGAGGATTACAAGCAAAATCTGGATCTCGTGGAGCATCTACAACAGATGATGGAAGAGGTACTCGTAAACCTGGGATTCTCACTGTGGTTGTAATAATGATCCAGGACTGGGGCAGATAAAAGTGCTTATAGTTACATCAGTGAAAACCTGTGGGTTCCAAAAAATAGTAGCCCCCCAGTACCAGCTTGCGACAACTGGTAAAAAGATGTATTTGTCCTCTATTTTTTAATTTGTAACTTTATGGAGAAATGGGGAAAAAAACATATAATATGACAAAATTCTTGCTCTGCTATGTGTACAACTGGGGTTTCGACCTCATATGACTTTCACAGAGATTCACCATATCTGATGATACTTATTAGTTGATTTTCTCTAAGTATATTCTGAGGCAACACAGAAGGTACCATAAGGCCCTTTTTGATAGCTGTCAAACCACAAGAACCAGGTAATCACAATACTTGCTTGGTTAGTTGTCAGGGAGAGCTGTCTGTGTGGTATATCATGTCTTTAATGGAAATGTAAAATATACAGTACTTTTAAAGCAATCTATTTTTAAAATGTTTAATTGTTAAGTATGTGTTGGGGTTTTATTTTGTTGGGTTTGAATTTTTTTTTACTTTTTTGTTTGTTTGTTTTCTAAACTGCAGTCAGTCTTTTTGGATACTTCTGTAACTTTATTGTGTCTGAAGACTACATCATGCATTGCCTTTTTTTAAAAGAAAAAAAAAGTTTGCAACAGTATTTTCCTTCTTGCCACATTGTGTTAGTGCATCTGTTGTGAGGCAAGCACATTCTAGTCATCATTCTTTATTTTTAGCAATAGCATTCTTGATATCTCCAGAATTATTTAAATGCATGACTAATATATTCTTTTAATGATGGATCACAGCACTAAGGTTTTGTTTAAAAGCTAGTTTCAGTGTCTGGTGATACAATCAATGGGTCATTTGGTATATTGTTAGCAAAGCAATTTGTTACCATTTACTGTGCATTTATGTTTTTAAACTCCTTCCTTACTTTGAGGGAAATTATTTCCTAGAGCTAAAATTTCAGATAGTTTTTCTTGACTCAGTGTAAAGTATCACCTTTTACTCAATTGTTTTTTTCAGCAGATAGACAGTCTTAAATTCTGACTTTAATGGAAATTAAAAATGGTGAATATGAACTGCTTGATGTATTGATGCAATATGGATGATACTCAGTGAACATCAGATTCTATCATCTGAGTTTTGTTAACAAAAGCCATTTACTTAAGGGTATGTTCTAAAACCCATTATTGGCAATTGGAAGAGTCCTGACACCTTTATTAGCTGCTGAGACCAAAAACTCTACTCTTAGAATAAATAAAAGCAACCTTGCTGTCCTTAAGGGGTATAACCGTGGCCATGAAACAAAGTTTGTGAAATTAGTAAGGTGCCATACAAGGTGGAAAGAACTGAGGAGTATAACATATGTTTGCAGACTAATAACCTCACCATACTTGTAAAATGAGTGTGGATCTAGTGCTTAAAGAAAATTCGACAGGTATTAATGTTTGAAGCAGCATTGGTAATGAACTGATGTTTTTCAGGTTAAATTAAAAACAGAACATTTAAAACGTACTGTATGCCACTGATAATGGAAGGTCTGAGAGTAGTCCAGTATATTCTACAAAAGCTTGAACTGCTGGTAATAATTTATCATAATGCAATGGTTTTATTCCCCAGTGTCAATATTGGTTTGAAGATGTGAGTGCAACAGTCATTAGGGTTGGCAAGTACTCTGCAGAATGCAAAACAAGACAAGCAATAGAGACTCTCTACAAGCAATTCAATAAGTTTATTGAGCCTACAGTGCCTCAACAAGAAGAAAAAATTCAGCAGATTATAGACCTCGCTGAACGGTTATATGGTGAGGAACTATATGTTAATATACTGTGGGGAAAATAATACAAACTCAGGACAGGAAGAAGCAGATTCCTAGATTTTTTCTTTTAAGAAGAAAATCCCATGAAGTATTGAGTGGAAGAGATGAAGGATTTTAGAACAAATATTTAAAATATAAAATTATTAAAGTACTCAACAGTCTGGTTGTTACTTGGTTTTCTGTATACAGCCTGAGTTCACCTTGAAATGAGTGAAAATGTCCTTGCAACATTTATGAGCTTGGAATTAAGACTTCATGGCTTAGGCTATCCCGTAACAGGCAAGCCTTTGAAGCCCAAGTACGTTACAGTCATGTACCTCAGTGCTGAGTGAATTTTTACATTAACACTGTGAACAATTAATGGTGTATGATTGCCAACTTCTTAAGCATTTTCTTAACAAAAAAAAATGTAGGTTCTTTTTTAAATATTGTATTTGCAATTGTATTGATTTGGAACATTGTTGACCAAAAAGAATGAAGATTAACAAACTTAAGGTTTTGCTTTTTTTGTCTCATGCTTGTAATGTTTATATACTCATTGAAGTTATATTATACAAAGTTAAGGTGACCATTCAGATGTGCAAGGATACTGTGTAGCCTATCAATCAACATAGTAAATCTGAAAAAATTCAACAGCTCAAAGAAGCTGACAGAATGGATTCTTGACACCCGCTGGTTAGGAACACTGGGAGAAAGAAGCTGATTTATGTTTTTTTAAGTAATTTAATGTGAAAAAGCTTCTGCATCCTGTCTTTGCATTGTATTTTTTATAATGGGGATCTAAATGCCTGCTAGCCATATAGTAAGGCAACTAGTTTAGGAGACACGTTGAGGTCAGCATCTTTTAAAGCAGTATCACTTAACAAGACAGAAGTAATTTTGTTCAAGGAGAAGCCTAGCAGAAGCTCTGCAGCAACTGAGGGCCCATCTCAAGTAAGCTAGTGGGAGGAGGGAAAGCACATTGCCACAAAATCTCAGAACTCCTTCAGCAAAACAAGAAACAGAAACATTCAATTATTATAATATATAGCAGTTGCAAAGTACGTTGATTGTTACACATATGTTTGATGCATTCTGTTCTACTTTTGTGTTGTTTTACCTTTGTAGGTATTGCAGAAGGGAAGAAGTATGTTGAAAAAGCCATATTAAAGTACAAAGAAGTCATTACTTCTGTTGATGGGTTGTGTAGATCTCTGAGAGAACTCAAGGAGATGAAGGTATTTATTTATTTATTTATTTATTTATTTTTAGTCTGGAGACTATTGCATCTGAATCAGTTTAGGATTAGTGCCTGGATCAGTACTTTTAGTGTGAAGCATTTCTTGTTCACTTTTCTGTTAACTTTGGTAATGATTGCGAAGAATCAACAAAATGCTACTTGTTCTTGCACAGAACATACTTTTTCTCAACTTCTTTCAGAACTGTTACTGTTCTCAATTAAATTAACCTTTAGGGGAAAATGTCACCATTTCTTCTAGTATCTAGGCAAATGTTTTTTTAATAGATTTCTTCTTCCTTTGGTGCTGGAATACAGGGCACTGGTAGATCTACAAAATGCCAAAAAACCTAGCTGGGCTCCCTGTTGGAAAAATTATCCCAAAAAACCAAGTTGTGTTAAAACCAAAGTAATTTAATTTAGAAAAGCAGGGTTTCTAACATAAATATGAAAGAGAACAGCAGTATTTTATTTTCATATTCTGATAAGCTTCTTTAAGTGTAAATAAGTATAATGTATTAATGAGGGATAATTATGGAAGACAGTTGAGAAGGCTAGATTTCTGCAGTAAAGACTCTGCCTACTTCATCCCTGGCTCTGAAAGTAATAACTAAAAAAATCTACCACATGCAGTAGCAGCTGATGGGTTAATTGTTCTGTGAAGCTGGAATAGTTAAAATGCTTAAATATCCTGCTCTTGTTGATTTGGAATGGTTTTTCACTTCTCTTTGATGAAATTTTACTAGAAACTGATGAACGCTCAAATTATCTATTAACATATTTAGCAGCAGTAAGAGATGCCAAAACCAGAAATAAGTTCCTAAAGTCATTCGGTAATTAGAAGGAAGGCTTTGCCTTGCAGTGTATCCATTATGGAACTTCAATATAAATGCCAATTTGGTTTTTCAAAGTTCTCCCAATCCATGTACTAATAAATGGTGTTTGGTGCAGGACAGTAGCCTCAGGTTCTGTCAGAACATGACTTTGATCTTTTTTGCTAGCTTAACAAGAGAAATGGAATTTCAAAATAAGTGTAATATTTTACTTTTGCTAATTTTGCTAATTGTAAAGTTATCTTTCTTTAGTTGAGTTTTTTTGAGAACACTTTACACAGAACCATTCATAAACTGTTTACTGTTTACTTTAGCATTTACTTTGAGTAATAATTTTAAGAAAGTCAGTCAAAAGGAATATTATAATAACTAATTTTCTGCAATAGAGAGTACTTCTGCAACTTTTTTTCCATTAAAAGGTATTTTTTATAAAATATATTGTTCTGAGACTTCAAACCTAACGTTCTTATAGAATATTTCCAGAATATCTGAGTAGTTGATGTGTGTATCTAATGAAGAATAAATCATTCAGCAAATTCTGTGAAAAGAAAAAAGGTTCCAAGAATATGGAATGCCATGACTATGGATTAATTTTCACTTCCTGTCCTTTTAAAAGTGTAACAAATTAAGATAAAATACTATGTTATGCAATCTTTGCTGACTTTACATGGCCGTTGGATGTCAGAAGAAACAGCTCTTGGATCTTTCCCTGCTTCAGAAAAGACTCCATCAGCTTTGAAAAATGGTGGCATTACTTGTCCAGGAATGAACAAATCAGATTTTGCTGCCTGTTTTTCCATAAGCAATTTACACTTGTGCTGATGACAAGTTTTAGATAAATTTCAGTTTGGTTGTTTTTCTACTGTTGTATAGAGCTTAAGCCAGTGTGTAGCTAACCTTTGCTACCTTCTATTGTGTATTAAATTGATTTTCTTTTCACGTGGCAGAAAGATGAGTTTTCTGAGGAGTTGGTTACTGTTCAAAAAGAGGAAAGAAATGGTCAAGAGGCATGTGAAGCTGTTATTAAAGATAAATCAGAGGAACAAAAGCAGCAGGTTAGGTTTTATTTTTTTTGCACTAGAAGTCTGTTTCTTTGGGTGCTAGTGTAGTTTTGGTCATTTATCTTTCAATTTTTTTCTAGTTATTTCTTCACCCTCTATATATTTCACATGATCTTTCCTATAATTGTATTTTTTTTTCCCCCCTTCTGTTTACAGGATATATTTTTGTTTTCTAAAAAAATACTATTTTCATAATCTTGTACCAATTTTCCTTTGGTCCTATTGCCACAGTGTTTTAAATGTAGACGTCCTCTTTGTGACTATTCCTTCTTCCTCACAGGAAAATACTCTCTGCAGTCCTTTGCAGTAAGACCTAAGGGAACATACGAAGTAACAGAGGAGACTGCTGTTAGTATTTTCCAGAGCTCTAATATTAATATATGCCCTAGAGAAAATCTATGAAAGTATTTAATTTCTAAGTAATATTCTATGAGAGAAGCCTTATAGCTCAGAATTTGAACTAAATAACAGTGGAAACTATGGTGCTTTGTTGAATCATGAAGGTATTAATCAGGAAAAAAAAAGTGTGTGTTAACCATTTTTCTTTCAGATGGAATCAGATAATTTGCCTACAAGTACAAAATGCATTGCTGAGAAGAGAAACAGTACTCTATCTCCTACCAATTCTGAACAGGTATCTGCTCTTCATGTTGTTTTTAGGCTTTTTGTCTGTGTTTTTTGTTGTTTGTTTTGAGCGTTTTTTTGGTGTTGTGTGGGGTTTTTTTGTTTTGTTTAGTTCTTTTTTTAATCAAATGGCTCAAAGGAATTTTACTCTAATTCATTTCTTCTCCTAAGTAACACATATTGTTATAGATTGGTGGGCTTAGACTGTCTTTTTCATTTACAATATTGCAAAAATTCAATGCAAAACAAGCACAGACTTGCTTCATTTTTGCACTAGTGTTAATAACAGGAAAGAAGTCATGGCAAAAACATGACGGGACACAACTACTGCTGTCAGCAGTTCAGTATGACATGTCATAGATAATCTGCTGTACTGTTGGTACAACACTATGCATCAACTAAGTAACAGAACTCACCATCAAGTAGTAGTCTTCACTCTCACCTTAAAATGCTTAAGTTAAATTTTTAGTTGCCAAAATTCTGTGCAGCAGAGATCATTAATAAGTTCCAAAGTATGGATTGCATAATGAAGACGGTGCACAAAGGGAAATTAGATGGTGAAAGACTGGATATGGCTTTAGAATGATAAAAATCCTAGCAGGCAAGCATGATCTATTAATGAATATACAATAATGACTATGAAAGGTTCCAAATTATCAGTGAATAAATGTAATCTTAGAAATACAGGCAATACAAAATCAGACCTACATTTTAAAAGATTAATTCCTTTAGTGTAAAGAACATTTTGAAGCTTGGGGATTCTCAATGTAAATAATTTACTATATTAAATACTCTGGCAAGTTTTAATAGGTGATAATATACTTAAGTCTTTAGGAAGGTGGGATACATTGGTAATTGATTTAAAGCTCAAAATTGTCCATTTTTAGCTGATAGCATAGACCAATAATAAAATACATTAAATTGTGATGTTTTATAGAAATTCAACTAATATTAGCATTTTGTTCAGTATAACACAATGTCCTGTAATCTGATGAGCCAAAATTGAGCCTGGTTAATGTTATTACCTCCATTTCAAGTCATTGGGAGTTCCATTGTTGACTTGAAGCCTAGATTTCACTAGAAATTTTTGTGACTGTTCCAAAGAGCCACCCTCAGAAGAATCACCTCACCCAGCAGATGTCCATATCCCTTTTTCTTATTTTGCTAGGCCATAGCTTTGTCAGCCCTTGTCAGACTGTGCCTCAGCTGCCAAGAGGAGAAGTCAAGGATATGCGAAACAGCAAACATCAGATGTGAAGTGTGGTGGCTCTGATGCCTCCACCCTTTTCATCACTTCATACTTCAATTAGAGAAGTGGCAAGTTCTTCTTACTAGAGCTATTTGGTCTTCCTTTTCCATCCTTTTTAAAGAAAGACCTGGCCCATCTCCAGCCCCTGGTCTAGTGGGCCAACAATTTCTAATTTTGTCTATACTTCTGCAAGCTAGTTTTGCAGTATTAATTTTCTACAGTAATAAATATCACCCTCTAAAAAGTGACCTAAACCTTCTCATGGTCCATTCATTCTCCAGAATGAATCCAGGCCATTGATTTTGCTCAGACAGTAGGGACATGGTTTTGAGAAATATTAACCTTTTTTTTTAAAAAAATAATCTGCTCAGAATTTAACATTTTAAAGAATTTTACAGCTTTTTATTGTTTATTAATAATTGGTTTATTCAATTTTTTGTTAGTGTAAGTCAGACCAAACCAGCTTGAATTTGCTTTTGGATTGTCTGTTTAAACTTCTTTGAAGAAAGACTTGCAAATTTGGTCAGGCTTAAAAGTGAGAGTTACTTAAAGCAATGCTGATAAGTTTAAAAAAACTGGATGTCAGTCAAATTTGTAACCTCCCAAAAAATAATTAATCCCTAAAAATAACAATTTCTTAGGAAAAGTTTGCAGTTAGCTAGAACTCCAATTAAAAAAAATAAATAATATGTGCTAGAAGGAAGAAGTTGTTCAGTATTTGTGAGTGGTGGAAAGGGGAAAAATTGACATATTTCATCAAATTGGAATGTCAATTATAATTTATCATGTCTATATCCATGATATATTCATACTCAAAGACACTTTGGGCATCAGAGTTCTTCAGGGGGATGTTTGTGGAAAACACATATAATACGCAAACTTGAGCTTCATCTTAAAGCTGAATGGAATTAATTTGTTGCTTTTGTGCACCGATGATTAGGTTATATTTAGAGTAATTCAGTGATGAGAAAGTGGAAATTAATGTCTTGCTGCAATTTTGTACTGGATACTGCCAAAGAGACCTGGTTTATTTGAGTGAATAGTTTATAGGTGATAGAAATATTGCTTAATATATTATTACATATTTTTGTATAGAACCCAACAAGGAGGGAATAACATAAGAAAAAATTATGAACACCTTTGCTGAGAGCCCTGGCACAAATTAAACAGGCCTGAATATGTGATTACACAGTTACATAAAACTAGGAGGCAGATAAGTAATTGATAAATCAGATAATATCTTTGATACTTCGTGATTAAAATCAGTGCGCTCATGCCATGTCCACTACTTTATGAAACATGATGAGAGGGATTTTTTTTTAAATTCTGCATCCAGGGTAATACACAAAAAAGATATTTTCTGTAAGTGGTCAGGCAAGATAGTGGAACAGCTGGAAATCAATGAGGGAAAAATGAAGTTTTTAGAAAGTACCTTAAAGATGTTTATTTAATTCTATAAATCTTGAACATGACCAGTGACTCTCTTTCTCAAAGAATCAAAGTCCAGCAAATTGGCTGTTAATGTACTTTTATTGCTGTGTAACTGTTTCCCATTTCAATGTAATTAAGCCACCTCCACCTTCCCATTGCAAGTGTTCTTATAAATAGCACCTACAGGAAATCCACACGTTGTCCTCTGTTTCTAGAAAGAGGTACTTTTTCTTTTATTGTTACTATTATAATAAATGTTTATGCATATTTATAGTAATAACTGCTAGAATCTATCCGAAGTTTTAAATTCCATCTGGCTCCAGAAAAATTTTTCAGAGGAATTATCCTTTTTTCATGTTTCCTCCTGCTTCTCAAAATATATTAACCTTAATTAGAAGAAATACTTCAAATACTGTTGCTAGCTTCTGCATGAAAAGGGAGTACACAGAATGATAACTCATTCTCTGTTTTTCTTCTTCTTTCACTTCTCTTCTTTCCCCTCCTAATTTAAGGAGAGGAATAATTTGGCTGATATTCCAATTATCTGTCCAGCTGGTGAGGATCTTGTTTCACAGGATACAGAGCTGTCATCTTCAGCCAAAGAGGATAGTTTACAGACTGAATTCCTGGCAGAAGAAATAGCCTCCGGAGATGAATATGAGTGTACATCACCTGATGATATCTCTTTGCCACCGCTTTCTGAAACACCAGAATCCAACCTCTTGCATTCTGAAACAGAGCTAGAAGAGCAGCGCTGTTGTAGCTCTCCTAGTCTGCATGTCAGTTCCTATAGTTTGCAAATGCAGAAAACCACCAGTATTAATAAAATGATGGAAGCATCTGATCTCTTAACAAATTCTGCTTATGCTTATGCTACAAATAAGAGAACAGTAAGCCCATCAGATGAGTTTCAGAAGTTTTGTGGCTCTTCACCAGATTCTGGTCCAAAAGTCAGACAAGTATCTCCTTTGACTTGTAGCTTACAAAGGATATCTGATGCTAGCACTGCATCCAGCACTGTAAATGCAAAACCAGTATATAGCTTGGTGAATGAAGTGTGCAAAACACATTTGAAACACCTTGAACTTTGTGAAAGCATGACAGAAACGCAGAAACAATTGCATGACTTGAATAACTGTACTAAAACCCAGCACAGGCTGCATGCTTTGCCTGGTGCATTCTCAGGTTTCGTGTTTCAATCAGACGCCACAAGAAGCTGTCAGAGAGAGACGATCACCCGAGAAGAGATTAAAAGTTCAACAGAAAAGAGCAGCATGGCCAGCCTAACTGGACAGGCGCCTAATTTCTCCCAGCTTCTCTCTAACAAAACCGTCATGGAAGGTTCTCCAGTAACTTTGGAAGTAGAAGTAACGGGATTTCCAGAGCCTACACTGACATGGTGGGTAGCTTATAATGAGAAGTAGTAAGTACACCTTTTAGCAAGACACCTGGAACCACTTATAACCGAACTAATTAATCTCTAGACTTAGAATCCTTTCTCCTCCATACTTCTGCATGACTCTCACCTTCAAAATTGCTTTTGAAAATTAGCCTACTTGACATAATCTCTCTACTTAATTTTATGAATAATGAGAGCATCAAACTACTGCAAGCATATCCAATGTTTTTAAGCAAATACATGATACAGTTTTAGTTTTCTGGAATATGACATTCTTCTTATATACTTTTTCAAAAACCTACACACTATAGGTTTACCACAAGTAAATTCACCTGCATTTTCTCAGGATCTCGGCTCTATATATGGATGGCCAGTCATTTGTGCACACACTGAAAAATTTATATAGACACTACATATACATAGAAACAGACATTTCTATATATGTGATAGTTGAGAACTGGAGAAAATATGCAAGTTAAAAAAGCCCCAAACCTAAGAGACAAAGTTTTATATTTTGTATTTTTGTGCACTCTCTTATCTCTCTCTGAATTGCTGTGTGTCTGATTAGATTACTTTATAATGCATTTGTGAGAAATTCAGATGACTTAATATAGACACCTTTTAAGCTTACTTTTTAGAAATAACCTACCAAAAGGGAATAGGGAGTAATGGAGAGGCAGGATTTTGTTACTTCTCCTCTATGTGTTGGCATAGTTTTCTAAAATCTTACTTTATTTGCCATTTCTCCACTTATTTTATTAGACTTTCACAGTGGAGGGCTTTCTTTTTTTTTTGTATTAGAATTAGATATGCCTCTTATTGAAAATGTTTTGATGTTATGATTATAATTATACATGTAAAGAATTAAGCAAACTATAAGCTTTTAGTAAGCTGAATTTTCTTCTACGGCACTGAGAAAAATACTGGACACTGCAACCTTGCTGCTATACTGTGTTGGTATCAATAAAGTTACTTTGTTTTAAATCCCAGTATTCTACAGTTCAAGAAGTATTGTTGGTGAAACGAGGTACCTTCAATTTTGTTTTATCATAAGAAAGCATTAATTTAGTTCAAATATTTATAGTGTTGGTATATAGTCTTTTAAATAATAACATTCAACTGAAAGCATTTTATGAATTAGAAATGTATGAAAACAGAAAAGTGGGGTTTATTAGTTAAAAATTCAACAATACGGTGTATTATGTACTGATGTAGACATTTTATTAGATATACATATAGAAAAATATTTCTACATAGCTTATGCTGAAATGTCACAAGGCAAGAGCCAGAATTTTCCCTCACTTCCAATATGTAAATCAGGAGTCAATACCAGTACATGATGACAGATCCTCAAGTGTTAGAATATGACACCAGTTCTCTGAAATAACTCTTGATGCATTGTTTTGTCTTGTTTGATTACGTGAAATAAGTAACTAACTGTGCTTTAAATGGAATTTCCATGTTCAAAAAGTTTGTATGCTACTTATGCATCTTAAGAGTGTACTCATGAGTTGAACATGAATTGACTTAATACCTTACTAGCAAAAATGTTTCAGCACAAAACTGAGGGCCCAGGTCACTCTCTCCAATACTGAAGTGAATTAACTGTGACTTGTCCATTGAAAATAATTTTCAGAACCACATTTCTAGTATTGAGAATGTATTACCTAGCAATTTGATTTGTTTAAATATTCATCAATATTTACGTATATCTTAAAACCAGGGAATAAGAGCACAGCAGTGAGCTCTTTCTGTCAGTGTAATGCTCTAGAGGTTGTCTGAATTCGTGAAGTTCTGCTTGATGTATGGTGTTGTAAATCTGACTTGAAAACTGACTCTCTACTTCAGGTACAAGAAGGGCCAGAAACTGACTGCAGATGAGCACTTAAAGCTTTTACAAAAGGAGACAAAGCATACTTTGTTCATTCAGAAGGTGTGTGATAAAGATGCTGGCCTCTATGTTGTTCGGGCTAAAAATTTGAACGGCACTATCTCATCAAGTGCTATTCTCCAAGTGAAAGGTAACAGGCCACCTATTACAAGAATAGACTGGGTAATGCTGTGTGTCATCTATATTACCATCTTACTAATGTACTGGCTATTCACAAAATAAATATTTATTGACTGCACTGGAATTATCACATGCTAAGACAACATTACATTTATTTTCTTACGTTGCATCTTTCACTATCTGTACCAAACCACTTCTATATGTCACTTGATATATTGCTTGTTTCTTTTGTACCAGTATTATGTGCTTATTTTCCTTTCCTATAGTGATGTTGAGATAAAAAAAGTTACAAAGATTCTCTCTAATTTGAGGCAGAGTTTTGCTTTCTAAAATGTTTGCTTTACAAAATGCTTGAAACAATTTTAATGGTTATAGGTATTAAATGTTAAGATACACCCAGGTAGAGTGCTAAGATCACCATATATTTTAGGATGTTTCTTTTGGGGAGAGGATGCGAAAGTATTGGAAAGTTTCTTAAATGTTGAATGTATTCTTTCCAACTACATTTGAAAAAAAAATAAATATTTGTAGGTTAAAGCTTCTTAGTAAAAGAAATCATACCTTTCATGATTGCTCTGGCATAGATCAGGCTTTAATCTCTCAGCTCAGCAGATGGTCTCCTCAAATGAAAGCTGCATTAGTTCCAATAGAGTTGTGATGGTCTGCACAATAAAGATTGACCCAGAATCATCAGAACTTGTGTAAGTGGAACCAAGCATACAGTAGACCAAAAATCCCAAATGTTTACAAAATGAGATTTTCCAACATACCAGTCTGCTCAGGTGCTTGTGATACCTTATCTGGCTTCTTATAAAATTAAAGATATAAATATTTCTAATAATCCACTATATCATTAGCATAAGACAAGAAAGAATAGTTTGTGAAGTGAGCATTTGTGCATGTTTGAAATTTTTCATACACTGATTTAGAACAGAATCAAGAAAAATGAGAAAATACTCAAAAGTCTATTCACACACACAAAATTGTTCTATTTCTATCAAATAAAATTCTCCTCCAATTTTACAGCAGTAAGTCCAAACCAGAGCTCTGTTCACCTGTATAAGACATTTGCTTCCTGACAAGGACAACGACAAGTATTCTTGTATTTTTTCACTTAAATATTTGTTAGTAGTGATGTAACTGTGCCGGTGAAGTATTTCATTTATAAATCCTCAGATGTGACTTTAGTTCCAGTACTTACTGCAGTTTTATGGTAAAAACAATTGACAGACAGCTATATGATTTTTCCTGCATCATTTGCAGCTTCCGTGTTGCAGTCGCATTGGTGTGGAAAATACATAGGAAAGAAACACTTTCTTGTACATAATTTGCCAAACTGAAGTCTTTTACTGTGTAGTGTACTATGAGCAAAATGTACCTTGCAGGTTGCCAGAGGGCAGTGAGATTGATGACTGATGTTACATATTTTGGTCCAGTGACTGCAACTTTATTAAAATTCCTATAACTTTGAAACAGGAAAAGTACTCAAGAGAACATAACCTCACAGCAATAGAGAGAGAGCAGGAGGAGGAGGTGTTGAGCAGATGGGGGAGCAAATTAAATTCGAACTAAGATGGGTATTATCCTTAATGAATAAGAATTCTCTCAGGTATAAATATCACATTTTCTTGAAGTGTACTCTCCATTTCACAATAAAGCTAATTTTAATAATTAATATTATTTTGAGTGTTTCAATTTTCATAAAGATAAAATTCAATTAAGTACTTTTCTGCCTTTGTGACTTCAGGTATGCTTGTTATAAATATACAGCAAAGAACCTATGTGAGCATGTTGACTTGGCTAAGTGGTACATTAACCAATATTGTGGTAAGAACAAACCAAAATGCCTCTCCTACATGCTGTAAAGTATTGCCTGCTGCAGAGCTGCCAGTGCTTGATAACTTTATCTTGTTTATAACAGAATCACAGAATGGTAGGGGAAGAAAGTGACTTCCGGAGACCATCTGTTATTCCAAATTATGGTTTAAATAGTTAATTAAATTACCCTTATTGCTGTAGTTTGTATTTTCCTTTTTAATTTTTATTTTCATCTTATTTTAAAGTACTATATGTAGTTCATTTACTGAACAAGACATGAAAGTAGTTAATCTTAATGGACTTTTCCAAGGCATTGTTATTTGAGACTTGATTTGCATTTATATGCTCCAGGCAGGCTTTGCAGATAGGAAACTGTATTGGTATGTTTTCTCTGTAAATACTCAGTGCTATGATCTGGTGTTGTAGCAGCACCTGTGCCTGAGGAAGGACCTTTTAAAGCCACTTCTGTCTAAAAAAGTCACTAAAGGAAAGCCCACAAAACTACACAACCAGAATGGTAGTGAAATTCCTCACTTAACACTAATTTTCCAACTTGAACCATAAATGCCTTTGGTAACTGAGAAATTAGGTAGTGTCTCCAACTGTGCTAAGACAAAACAAAATTATTCCACTGGGGAGAAGAGTAGGTTAATGCAGAGTTCTTTGTACACCAATTAAAATTATATGGATCTGAAGCTTATACAGAATTTCCCAATAGATTACCTGTCACTCAGGGAAGCCAGCTGCCTTTCTAAGAAAACTGAGCATCAGTTTAGCTATATAGTTCAAAAGCAGCTGAAGTGGCTTGTGATTTGCTGCTGTGCAAATGCATCCACTTCCATTTTTACTCATCTGAAAAGTAAGCTTCCTAGTACTGGATTAAATTCTGGAATTGTATTCCTATTTAAATGCTAAATAAGATCTTTCAAATTTGACTTGTGAGGAAAAAGATTTTAAAAATTTAAAATCTAAGTATTTTGTTATTTTCAAGACTACACACAAGTGGAGTTTTCATGCTGTTGCTATAGAACAGACATTATTAAATAACAAAAGGCCAAAACAAACACCTTGACACTTCTGAGAATGTTGTCATTTTTGCTTAGTCAGATGTTATATTTATTAAATATGAGAAGGTATAAATATAACTTATACAAAAATATTAATTAAATATAAATATAAGGCCAGAAATTGCCTTAGAACATCTGTAGATCTTAGTAAATCATTGTAGAAGTACATAATACCTTTGTTCATTAAGCAGAGTTGCTGAGGATTTGAACATTTCTGTGAATTTTAGATAAACAGAACTTGATTTTGTGAGTGTGGTGTTGCATCCATTTTAAAATCAGGAGTAGTTTTAAATTCAATTTTTAATGAGTCAGTGGATACCAGCCACATTTTTAACTGCTCCAAGATAAAAGACTTTTAAAAAAGAAATTAGAAGTAGCAGATACACAGCAGGACACTGCAAGTATCGTGGTTTGAATGCTTTATTTTGTAAACTAAGGTGTAATCAATGCTGATTATTGCTGTGTTGACAGTGTGGGTTAAAATACTCTATGTAAGGACCCTAATGAATGCCCCAAAAATTTTGCTGGTGAATTTCTGCTGTTCTCTGTTCAGATAATCTTAAAAAAAAGTGACAGTAATGTAGTCTTCTGATACAGTAGTATTTCTCTGAATTTCTCTAATGCTTCCCCTAAATTTAAATTTATTTTTTTTTGTAATTCATGTTGTGATGTTTCACTTCATCCTTTTTACTGTACTGTAGAAGCAGGGACTAAATCCAGGTATTCTGTATTGTTCTGGTTCTGCTTCTTTGTTTTCTTACAGTGCTGATTTCCTCTCATCACAGTCACAGTTTCAAACTTGTAGTTACTTCAAGACCCCAAAATGTTTACATCTTCCCAATTGCTCTTTAAAGATCAGGTTTAAATCTCAATCTCTCTAGTCTTACATCAAAAATATTATACTTAGGCATGTTGCTACTGTAACTTCCCTTCCTCCTTCCCCATATGCAGGTGCTTCAGAAAGGAAGCAGTGAATGAGATTGCCTGACTACAAGAGGTGGAGTTATGTGAAGGGGTATTTACATGAGGTGCATAAGTTTGGAGTGGAAAGGGGTTAATTACTGTAATTTTTTAAAACAAGCAACCTCTCTGAGGGCCTAGGTGTAAGTCAGTAGGCAAAGAGAAGAAGAGGCATTCCCCCTGGTTGGCGTTGGATCGTTGTGGCTGGATCTGAAATGGAGAAGGTGGCTTCCTTTCAAATGAGTGGTAAGGTATGCCTGTTCCTGGACCTTTCTTTGGTGACTTTGCTACGGTAACCTGGTAATTTTTGTGGGTATCTCTTGTGGCTCAGAGGAGCTCTATCTTTAAAAATTAGTGCTCAGAACTTTCATGAGGCTACGCTATGGTATTCAAGGAGACTGGAGTTCTGTATTACTGGTATTTCAGATCAACTGGGACATGAGACTTGCTTGATATTCCTTAATAGAATTATTTCTGATTGTGTTAGCAGCTTGACTGAGATAAAGGTCAAAACAATAAAGGACAGTGTCTTAATTTAGAGCAATGGTGAGCAAATCCGAAGTCTCAGAGCTGCATGTTATGAAATTTTAGAGAAGATAGGGGGAAGTTTATCAATTTGCTGCTATTGCATTTCAAGATATCAGAGTTTGGAAAAATATGTCCACAGTAAAAAGATGAAGAATAACTGTGAAGCAAAGTAATAAAAAATGGCTGTTGAAAATAATTTAGCTTGACTTGGTACTCCCAGTGTTTGAGAGTGACTTGGGGCATGGATGAAAACTGTCATAAAGCCAGATACAGGTGATGTCTCCATCTGCAGTTTTTCCATTGCTCCATGCTGCTGAATTTTCCTTGCTGGCTCCCCAGTTTGCACCAGAACACTACTGCTTCCCATAAATAACTTGTGTAATATTTAATATTTGACCAACTTCTTATCTGAAGCCATCAGAGTGGGATTTCAGTACCACTGAATACCTGGTGAAATGCTTTCTCTCCGCAATGCAGGAAAAAAGGTCTGTTCCTTCTTACCTTTCTGGTTCATGGGATGTTCAGCCAAGAAAAAAAAAAAAAAATTGTCTTAGTTTATTCTGACATATCATATGATGGTATAGGAAAGCCACTGATGAAAAATAACCATCCATTCTATTCTGAAGGTTGCTGTGAGGGGATGAACTTTTGTCAGGGGATGGAATTTTTGTCCCTGTTGAGTTCTAGCTTGTACCTTAAAGAGTTGTAGTAGCTGTCACTTCATGGTTT